GAATGAGATATTTACAGTTAAAGAATGTTATAAAAGATTTTTCTTATAGATTTTTCTTAATCTTTAATGTAATGAGGTCATTTTTTATGGTCATCACACTGCAAGTACCTACAACATTAATGTGGATTTTTGTATTGCTATTATTTTCTTATTAACATGATTAAGTAAATAATCATCCCAAAAAATTTTAGAATCAATTTAGTTCTTGCACTTACAAAATTTAAATTAGTGTAGTTCTAGTAAAGTTCAAAGAATTTAGAGTTCATAATTGACAAAGTGGTTGTGATTAGAATTACAAAATTCTTTATTAAATTTTTTTCTAAATTCTCATTTGAATTTTTTGCTCGTTTAAATACTTTTTCACTTACCATAAAGAAATCAAGTACAAAGCAAGTTTAAAAATTGAAAAAGTTAAATAAATCAAGCTTGAGCAATTTATGAAAGTTGAATACAAGCTTAAGCCGAACATAAACAACTTATAATTATACCAAGCCAACTTCGAACAGTGATATACTCGGCTCAATTACAGCCCTAGACGTACATCTTTTTTCTACTTATGTCAAATTTTTCATATGAATGATTTATGGGCCCAACACTCCAAAAACTAAGTTCCACTTTAATGGTATTTAATCGAAGTTTATACACCCCAAACAGTAAACATGTAAAAAAGTGATGTGCAAGTATGTTCTCATGCCAAAAATAATAAATGATCAAAACATGATCAAACTTGGAACCCTAATTGAGCGCTGAAAAATTAATTTTTAGTACGAAAAAATGGTAAGAAAGTGTTTAGGCATATGAATTTCCAAAAAAAAAAATCATAACAGACTGTACTTTCAAAATGTTATCAACAAAAGAGTTAATAATCCTTATCGGGTTTATGGGATGATTGGCAATTCTTTTGCACGTGTTTTGTAGTAACTATAACAAGCCATGGATCTAATCCTAGTCTTCAACATGTGTTTTTTATATTTACATAAATCTCACACAATTCTTATATATTTACATATCTAACACCTAAGATTAAATATCCCCTTGTATAACATTCAAATCTTTAAACCACATAAAAAATATCAAGAATATAACTCTTATAAAGTAAAATATGCATTGTTTCATGCATAGGTTTTGAGTTGATTGAAACACTAATTTTTTTTACAAGTAAATACCAAAGTTTATGTGCTAGATAATGTAAATCCCTCTTTTTATTTTAATTTCAGATAACTCAAAATCGATTCAAGTGCTTAGACTCAATTTTCAGCTAGCTCATAAAACAAACGGATTGGGCTCAAACATTATTTTATTTCTAGTTGACTGAAACTCTATATTTACAAAATCAAGTATAGCTAAACTCCCAAAAAGTTAACTCGTTATCAACCTTTTTGTGAGTTTCAAGATTCTTAACCTATATCTAGTTGCTGATCAACTACTTTATGTTTCACCTATCACACACAAGGAGCTCTTGTTTTTCATATATTATGGCCATTTCTTCATCATCAACCATGAAATTATTTCATTTCTTACCAAAAGTTAATCCTGCCAGATTGAAACCTTAACTTCACAAGCTTCACTCCATTCAATCTTTGATGAAGGATTTAGTTTATGTAAGACGGTTAATCAAACGCAGCACGAGATGGAGCAATATAAAGTTAGTCAATACATGAAGAAATAGCCAAAAAAATATCAAAATCAATACAAATTTGAATATAATCAAGAAATTACCGGAAAAAAATAATGATTCTTCGCTTCTATCTTTGCTGCGGTTCATAGCAGTGCTTCAATTCCATAGAAAAAAGAGTGGGGAGAGTGGAACCTGAAGATTGTGTTCCTTGATATAAGACCAAACGCGGATGAAGCAACCGAGTCGGGAGATTTGAGAGTGCCCCACAAAATCTCTGAGCGTAGAAGGGAGATTTGCGAGATCGATTAGGCTCGCTAACCTCTTCGGACTCTCCGCCGCCGCTTTCTTCGCCGCCGACCTCAGTACCATAGCTGCTCCCGCCGCTCTCTCTCTCCCCCTCACGGACCGGGGATTCGGGTCCCGACAGAACAGAGTTAGGTTTTATCGGAGCCCATTTTGACTCACTCAAAGCTCAAATAGGCCCGAACCTTGTCGAGACCGGTCCCCTCAATTACTACTTTCTTATAGGAATGGTTCGGAATTGCAAGCTTTCGAGTAGGTTTTTTTTCTATTTTTTCAAGGCATACATACTCGAGTCTTATGTATTTAAATATCGAGATATTTTCACGTTAAAATCTTGCTTATTTTCGTGTGTATACATATCCTATTAAATTTCATCTAAATGTATTAGAGAAAATTCGTACCTATTGATAGGTGCTAGAAAATTCACGATATGAGAGTAATATATTATCGTTTTAACATGTTATAAAGATTCAACACACACTCAGAAAAGAGAATAAAATTAGCAATATCAACCACTTGCTCTCATTAACTATTTCTAGTGAAGATCATGTACACAATTAGCTTCCCATCGAGACATTCCTTTTGGGTTCATATTTCATGGGATTTGTAGCTTTCATCGAGTGTTACCTCTTGGGTTTGACTTCTAGAGTATCGCATTTCTCATCGAGTTTTGCTTCTAAGGCTTAACTTCCAAAAGAATAATAGTTTCCCATCGAGTCTTGCCTCTAGGGCTTGACTTCCAAGGTTATCGGATCTTCTCATCGGCTTTTGCCTCTTGGGCTCCACTTTCAGTGGCATGGTTGTTTTCCATCGAGTTTTGCCTCTTGAGCTTAACTTCTAGGGCCATGGTAGCTTTTTCAGGGAGTCCTGTCTCTTGGGCCTGACTTCTAGGAGTACTGTATCTACTCATCGAGTTTTGCTTCTTGGGCTCGACTTATAGAGGTAAATATGGAGACCTTGTCTTCCGCTTTCTCTCGAGAGGCTTCCTGCACAAACATCATTTCGTGAGAGAATAATAAATTTTCACTAAATGATAATTTTTTTAAAGTAGCATTAAAATCTTGCTAGAATAAAATTATGAGTTTATATATCAGTCTTTTACTCAAATAAGATAATTATAGTTGGTACTTCTCATTCGATCACCCCAATGATTTTCTTCTGGTTTCCATCACATAGTTCTTGTAAGTAACAACCTAGGTGACCTTGGTGTATCCGACATTTGCTTTATTTCTTTAGTTCAAAATATCTTTTTTTTTAGTGACATTCAACTTGATGGAAATGACAATATTGAGACCAATCTCTACTATCTGAATTTTTTAACAATCTTGGCCACTTGATGACCTTTCCAATATTGATGGCCATTATAATGTTGACGCGTGAAGTGTATTATTTTTTTGATCGAGGCTCATGATTCCCTTGCGGTCTATAATTTCTTATTATTGATGTGTGCTAGAAAGTCCGTGGCGGTAGAGTAACGGAATACCGTTTTAGCATTGTGCGGGAATTCAACACAGAGACAGATAAAAAAAGACATGCAGTGATGACTCAAGAAGTTTTTATGTGGAAAACCCGAAAAAGGAAAAACCATCGGATCTGACCCAATTATGAAAATCCTCTATTGATTAATGATTACAAAAATTTCTTATCCAACAGACAAGAAATGATAACTATATTTTTCAGATTACAGCGTCTACTGTCGGCATCTGGCCCGTGGTGACTGTAGGTGTCTGGTCCGTGGTGATTGACAATGGTTGTCAGTAATCGACGGGGGTCGGCTGCAATAGGTGGTGGTCGATGAAGGACGACGGTGGTCGGTGGTCGATGGGGGTCGACGGAGGTCGGCGGTGGTCGACAATAATAGGTGGTGGTAGACGGCGGCATCGATGATGCTGAGCTGCATCTCCTCCTCAAGGTCTCAGGTTCTCTCTCTAAGCTTGAGTCCCCCTCATGAGGGAGGAGGGGCTCTATTTATAGTGTTCTTGGTACAATTAATTTAGAAATATGAATCATTTTTGAGTGAACAGTCCGGAGAGCTTTCCTCAATCAACATCAATTAATGGATATTTCGGTGTCTTAATGATGTCAGAATTTAATGATATTGAGCTCGTTGGATTCATCTTGTTGAGACGCTCGATTCGACTATAACCTTGCTAGATTTGACATTTGTTTGACCTTCAAAATGTGTCTAGAAATCTTCCAATAATAGTTGAATGACTTGATATGGGCTTGATTTGACTCAAATTAGAATAACTTTGATATCATTGGGTCTGTCTCATCGAGCCGTTCAGTTTGACTATAAGTTTACTGAAATCAGAGCTCTGGACAACTGTTAATCAAAGTTTGAATGTTTTTTGCTTAAAAAATTGTCTTGAGATTTGTGTTGGATGATAAAAAATTGTTTGTGGCATATCAATTGTGAAATTTGATCGGCAACCCAAGTGTTATAATTGTGCTTGCCACTCAAACGCTCGAATTGCTTCATTTGAGTACTAATGACCTCATCTGCAAATATTTGAGCTTCGAGAATGGATAAGATTGACGTAAGAGCACACTGTCTTCCATAAAGTGATGAGTAGAAATGTCTTGGGCGTAGCTCTCCAAGAAGAGCTCCTCTCAATAACTCTGGATCCACTCCCGAAATCTGAAGGGCTTTAGTGAATAACCTTCGGAAGTATTCCTTGAGGGTTTACCTCTCATTCTGGCAAACTCCCGATAAGTGGGATGAATCATTGTTGATCATTCTATCAACTATAAGTCAATCTACGAATAGTCTGACAATGTCATTAAAGGTATTTATGGTGCCCCCAATGAGTGAACAGATCCATGTGTGAGCTTGGCCCTTGAGAGTCGCAAGGAATACCTAATAGGTGACAAAGAACCACATCAGAGACACGGTGAGCGTGCATGATGGTTCGATAATGGTCGACATGCTAGAATGGGTCAGTTATCCCTTTGTAGGCATTGATGTTCGTGAGTTTGAAGCCCACTGTGATATGGTGTCGGAGAACCACCTTGACCAAACGAAAGGATTCTTGGAAGTTGAGGCGAGCGAGCAAACAATCCCTATTCTCCAAGGATCAGAAATAGATACCGATAGTGACTTTTCCCGTGAATGGGGAATAAGCCATTTTGGATAGTAGCTTAATAGGTTCAAACGATGGCTTTAAAAATTGAACCGTATTTGCCGCTTAGACTAGTTTAATCATAGCTTCAGTGAAGAACCAATCATAACAAGTGGTTGAATTGGTCAACTAGTAAACTTTTTTGATCTTTTATGAAATGGCCACTTCTAAATGCAATTATTTAATTACTTTTTATTTTATTCAAATCGCTAAAAATATAAAATTTAGATTTAAAATAAAGAAATATAAAAAAATTAATATAAATATATTGAGTTCGACTGATTATTAGAATTCATATTGTTAAAAAATTATTAATGAATCTGAAAGAACTCTTCATTCATTAATACAATACAACAGATATTTCACATATTATTCAAACGCAATCAAACAGCACACACACACACACACACACACACATATATAATCAGCCCATAAAAACAAATTAGCAAACTGCAGCAGGTACAGGTTTCGTCCAGCCTGAATGCTTCTTCAGAGCTGCTTTCTCACGCCCTGCGCAAATGAAAGAACATATTTTTAATTATTTATAAAAATAACAAGAAACAGGCAGATAGAGGATGTGGTTTATATAAAAATAGAAGATTTACATACATACCATTCAGTTTCTACCTATTTAGATAGCAAATCCCTAAACTTCAACCTTACATTTATATTACCTTATGTTTTTACATATATATCACCTTATTTTATGGACGAGTATGTGTTTTTAACTTTTTTTTTTTCTCTAAATGATGATATGTAATATATGATTTCATGTTTTCATATTTTGTCATAAATTTTGTAAATGAAACTACACCTTAGCTATGAAATCACTATATTGTCATATTTCACATGAAATTCAGTCATGTAGAATAATTATTCTACTAACTTTACACAAACACCCAAGTATTCGGTCATTTCATCACAACCTTTACATTAAATTATGTCCTGCTTGCTTACATATTATCTGCAAATCAAAATCATATTATATATAATTAAAAAAAAATTAAGCTTCTTTTAAAACATTCAAGAGAGAGATAGGGAGAGAAAGAGAGAGCTATGGGTGTAACCAAGTGGAGTCGAGCTTGAGCCACAATCGACTTGATTGAGCTTGATTAATTGTATTGAGTTCTCGAGCTCATGACTACGAGGTTGAGCTAGCTCACGAGTTTACTTATTTATTATAAAAAAGAAAAAATAATATGAATTTAAGATAGTGCTATAATAAAATTATAAAAAAATGAACAATTAACAATTAAATAATAAAAATTCACTTAAAATAAAATAATATTTATTTTTTTAAGTGGCTGTAATAATTTAAAGATAAAATTTTTAAAATTAATATATTATGAGTTTATTTTATATCAAT